TGTGTGTGTGTGTGTGTGTGTGTGTGTGTGTGTGTGTGTGTGTGTGTATTGCATGCTAATGTATGCTGAATTGAGAGTGGGGTGGCAGGAAGTAAAAGAGAGTGAGAGACTGTTATTCTGGATGATGGGATGCTGCCCATACTTCATTGTTCATGAAGTTGAATGTAACACATTCCAGGAACTGTTTTCTACCTTTCCTGTTTGTTTTGTTTTTGCATTTCTTTATGCATTTTGATAACCACTTTGTTTTTTAAGAGGTATAAATGACATATAAAATAACCATTTTAGGGTGCCTGGGTGGCTCAGTCATTAAGCATCTGCCTGTCGCTCAGGTCATGATCTCAGGGTCCTGGGATCGAGTCCCACATCGGGCTTCCGGCTTGGCGGGAAGCCTGCTTCTCCCTCTCTCCCTGCTTGTGTTCCTGCTCTTGCTATCTCTCTGTCAAATAAATAAATAAAATCTTTAAAAAAAATAAAGTAAAATAACCATTTTATATACTAGACAGTATATTGTTAAAATAATTGTATGCTGGGACGCCTGGGTGGCTCAGTCTGTTAAGCGTATGCCTTCACCTAGGTCATGATCCTGGAGTCCCAGGATCAAGCCCTGGATGGGCTCCTTGCTCAGCAGGGAGTCTGCTTCTCCCTCTGCCCCTCCCCCTGCTCCTTCTCTCTCGTTCACGCTCTCTTTCTCTCAAATAAATAAAATGTTAAAAAAAATTGCTTTTCTAATTAACTTATAGTCTCAAAACTAGATATTTCCAGTGTATTAAACATGATGCAATAGTTAAATTTTATTATCTTTTCCTTCCTTAAAATCTTTTGTCATGTGAATCTATGAATAGAGTTAATGAAACATCTGGAATGTATTAGAAATTATTCTGTATTTGGAGTAAAATGATATGGTTGAGAATCATGAGTTTTCTCCTTGCTATGTGACCATGTATGTTACCTGCTTTGAGCCTCAGCTTCATCATCTATGAAATAAGGATAATAGTAATACTTATCTTGATATGGTTTTTATGAGGATGAGATTAGATGGTGAATTATGTGTAGCCTCTAATATTGTTTGTATAATAAGAATAATAATGAATATGAAAATGGTTTGGGGTTGTGTATTTAACTATGAATTCAGAATCTACATAATGGGTATTTAATGTTTATAATTAAGTAATAATATATTCTGGCATTGAAACTAATTATATTTTTAAAATTTAATTTTGTATTTGTAAATAATGACAACTATTTTGGTTTTGGATTGATTTTGTTTCTGTCCTCTAAAAAGGACAGTGATTATGTAGTAGCATAAAGGAATGGAGATAATTAAGATGATTTTTTTGTTCTCTGCATTAAAGTATAATAGAAATATTTTTATAAAAGAGAATTACTTTAGGGACAGCTGGGTGGCTCAGTCAGTTAAGCATCTACCTTTGGCTCAGGTCATGATCCAAGGGTCCTGGGATCCAGCTCCAGGTAGAGCTCCCTGCTCAGCTGGGAGTCTGCTTCTCCCTCTCCCTCTGCCCGCCCCCCCCACTTGTGTTCTCTCGCTTGCCCTCTCTCTCAAATAAATAAATAAATAAAATCTTTAAAACAAAAAGAGTATCACTTCAGGAGAAGATTTTGGAAAATGACATTTTGGAATGAGTATTCTGCTTATCTCATTTGTAATTAGATATCTGTTAGAATTTGATAAATAATAAATAGTACATTGATAAACCAGTGCCATTACCTGTTTAAATTACTGGCTTCAAAGTGTCTCCTAATTATTTTATACTGTAGTCAATGGATGCAACTTTTTTTTAGCATTCACTTATATATTTATACATCACATGTAAAGTAATAGCATTGCAGCATTTATCTTATTAAATGTAAAGTTATTTTGATATTGATACCTTCATTAATTTTATTCTTTTACTATTTTTATCATCTCCTGATATAAATACTTTTATTTGTATAAAGGTACAATTCTAAGACTCATTAACTTGTTTCCTATGGAAATGTTCTCTTGTAGGGTATTAATACAAGCCATTAAGCTAGAATATCTTCTGGCAAAAACTCCTAGCAGATGGCAACTTTTCTCTCTATTAATTTTGGATTGGACATGTGCTTTGGCTTGTTTGGTCATGTTATAGTTGTAACATTGAGCAAGGATCATTCACGCAAATGCAATGATAATATAGCCCTGGACATGTACAGTATACAAATTTATATCCCAGTCTATATAAAGTCTTACATATTTTCTTACTGTAAATAGAAAGGTTAAGTAATCCATTAAGGTATAAGTGTCATAGTAACTTATTTGAAATGTGTTTTAAGGTAATGCCCATTCTTTGGCAAGTATCTAATTCGGAGTCTAAGTGTTTCATACTTACATTTGAGCATTCATAGGTGTTGGACTACAATATTCAGTTGTCATTTAGATATCTAGTAATGTTAGAAACAGTTTTAGTCATCACTTTTAAAGCATGCAACTTTTGATTTTTGAGCCTGGATGTAAGGTAGATGGACATATCTCCCTAAAAGCAACTTAGATGCATAAGGTAATAGGTACAAAAAAGGAATACACCTTTTAATCTTTTCTTTCAACTTGAAAAAATAACTATTATAATGATAGGTCTGGACAAGTCAAGTCAAAATACATTTGAAATATTTTCTTTTGCTGATGTATTTTTCTCATACTAACTTTTGATTTTTTGTGTCTTCTGTATATGCTTGACATCTTTACTAAATCTGGTATTTTCCAGGAGTCCCCTTGCAATCCGCTCTTTGAACACTGTACAGTATACTCATTGCATACTTTAAGAATAATCAATTTAAAGGTGCAGCTCCTCATTTAACCTATTAGGTAGTTGTCTTAGACTTGAGCAGCATTTCCCAAAAATACTATCAGGAATAATTTATGGATCACCTGGCAATTAGCATTTTGTTGATTCCCTTCTAGCTTGCAGTTACCAGAAAATAAGTCCCCTTTTATAATAGGGAACCTCAATATCAGAAGGATGAAAACCAAACCTTTTTGACAGTGTCAATGTAATTAATGAATCACCTTCACTTGAAAACAAGCCCTTATATTTAATTTGTCATGCAGTGCACATTAGCATTGGTGTCACAATGCCTTCTAGTCGATCTTAATTCACTTGCATTCAGTTTTATACACAGCAAATTAATTCATCTTAATCATGTATTTTAATACTCTGTATTTTTTGCAAGTCCATCCCAATAATAGTATGGAGACAGTATAAATCAGTGTAATAATTTCTCTAAGTTATCATTGTTCTCTGTTTAATATCAGGGTACTTTTTTTGATTTATCTTAGAAAAGTGTTTATAACCATATAGAATTGAGGCCAAGTGCACTCTGAGGACAGCTGGATATGAAAGATACAGTTCATGATATTTTTAAAGGGCTCTATATGCAGATTTTTGGAACTTTAAGTTTCTCAGAGTTTCATATCCCTTCATATTATTTAGCAGATCATAGCAATACTTGACCATCCATCATATCTCCATTAGAATTATTCTGGGCATTAGAAACTTAATTTTGTTGTTTATGCTGTAAAGTCATAATCATCCATAAAATATATGTATGTATGCCTTTAGTTAATGGAAAAATAATGATCTGAATGCATTAAGTAAATATTTCCTTAATTAAAATAATTTTTAACAAACTTTGATTTTTAATTGCAGGTGGCCTGCATGCAGTTTATAAATGCTCTTGTCACTTCACCTTATGAGCTTGATTTTAGAATACATTTAAGGAATGAATTCCTCCGTTCCGGACTAAAAACAATGTTACCAGTAAGTTGAGTGTACACATTAAGTCTGCTGATGAACTTTAACATATTTCTCTCTTTAGACAAAGTACTTGCAACAGAGTAGATAAATGTGCCTTGGTATATTTTCTTTTGTAAAGCATTAGACATTTTGCAAGCTTTTCTATATTGCAATAATAGCAGTCTTTATATACAACTGATGATTCAGAATTCAGCTAGTGTGTCCAGAAATGATGTGGGTGTTTTTTGTTTTGTTTGTTTTCTTAAAGTCAAAAGGGAATTTCTTTTCTTTGAATTTAAATACTGAGAACATAAGAGACTACTGCTTTTTCTTTTTCTGCGGCTTCAATTTTCATTTAAAAGTTTTGCTTTCTGGGTGCCTGGGTGGCTCAGTTGGTTAAGCGACTGCCTTCGGCTCAGGTCATGATCCTGGAGTCCCGGGATCGAGTCCCACATCGGGCTCCCTGCTCAGCAGGGAGTCTGCTTCTCCCTCTGACCCTCTTCCCTCTCATGCTCTCTATCTCTCATTCTCTCTCTCTCAAATAAATAAAATCTTTAAAAAAAATAAAAAGTTTTGCTTTCCTCTTTGATAACTTAGATTGATATCATTTATATTCAGCATAAGTATCTATAGAATTTTGGTCAGTATATTCTAGATACTTAGGAATGGTATTCTTGCTACAGTGCTATAGAAACTTTTCTAAAGTTTTATTTCTTAAATTGAATGTGCATATATGCTCTAATTATGATACTGTTAAAACATTTTTGAAATAACTTTATAGGCTTGATCTGAGATAAATGAGGACACTTATTCTATAAACACAAATATAGCTAATGTGACTATATTTTATTTAGTATGTTAACTGAAGAGGGATTTTGTTTAAAACCATGGCATTGTTAAGAGACATGTAAAGTCTAGTCTTTTCATTTAAGCTACCCAGAGCACACCTGAATAAAAAGAAGCAAAAGGGAGTAAAAAAGAAAACAAAACAAAAGAAATGTCAAGTAAGCTTATATATAATACTTAGAGGAGTAGAAATATCAAAATCAGGGAAATTTCCTGGTAGGAATGAGAGTGTAGCATGCATCTGTAACTTGTGTTCTGTTAGTCTTAACTGAAAGTAGTTGAAACTTACCATCATAAAATGAACCCTACAGTGAGTCTACTGAAACCCACTTTGATAAGATATTTGATTTAATCTATCTGGTTTTAGAAAGTTCTGTGTCAATTATACTTTAAATGGTACTTTAATCCATGACTTTAAAAAAACAGGGAATTGGTTGCAGTGAATCAAAGCAACATTTTAAGTGACCCATATGGAGGTTTAATATGCAGTTAACTAGGCACATTCACTAGTTACACATTTATTCTTGTTTTCTCAGAAATCTTTCCTCATGAAAAGTCTGTGGCTGTAGGTAGTTACAGATCATGTTATAATCTTGATTCTAGTATGGCTTTTGAGTTATCTACTCATTGATTTCCATGCTTGTCCTCACTGGGGTGGTCCTCAGTTTCTGAGAGAGTATTAATGTCTTTGGACACTTGCTGGCTACAGGGGCTCCTTAGTGTCCTCTACTCATTTACCAAGATGCCACGTATTGTGCCTTAGTTGTTGCTATTACTCTTTCATCTTTTATTTCCCTGTATCTATTTATAATTGAATATTCATTTTCTGCCTTATACTACTGAATGTTTGATCAAAAAAACTGTTACTCTCATTTTAATTTATTTAAGTTGTCCTCTTTTCAGAAAGAGAATGAATGGTAGCTCTTGTCTTTACCTTTTACTTTTCTCTGGTGTATTCATCTTTGCTGGGTTCAGTGGTCTCATGGTATATTTGGTTACACTGACAGTGAAGATTTTGCATCCGTCATTCTACGCTACACTTTCCCATCGGCCCTGTAGCTGTATTTTAAGCCTCTTGTGGCACCATGGTGCTTCTTAATAAATGCATTCTTCATATATTTATCAGCTAGATTTTTCTTTAACTGTCAAATCTCTTCAGTCTGACCTGAGTCCCAGATCTCAGTGATTCCTCAGCAAGAGAAAAGTAGTAAGTGTCATGTGTCTGCCTCCTAAAATTTTGGAATAGAACCTACAAGAATTCTCAGGTTGTTTTTTTTTTTTTTTCTCCCTAAGACAGTGGAGCAAAATATGGTTACATACAGCCCTGGTTCTCAACTAAAGAGGTTGGAAATGTCCCTCTAAAGAGAATATATCAAAATCTTATTGAGGGTAAGGCAGAGATGTTTGGTTTGAAAAGAAAACAAATCTTCCGCAGGTACTTCTTATATATAAGATGAGAATCAGAATTCAGGCAGAAAGACCCAGAAGATTTAGAGATCCTTTCTTTAATACCATAGATTTCATGACTGAGGTTGTTCTTGTAGTTTTATTATCACAATTTGGAACAAAGGTCAGAATGGTCATGGATTAATGTATTTTAGATGTACCTGACATGTCAATTATTATCTAATGAACTCATTGTTTAATTTACTATTAATATTTAAGCTTAAACCACTAGAATTTGGGGAGTATTAAACATCTGTATGCGTGCATTGAAGCTTAATAATATATTCATAGATGAGTTTTTAACAGGAGGAAATGCTTAATTTTCTAGAATCTATCATATTCAAAGCAGCAGATTAGATGTGGCTAAGGCTAATACAAATTGTACATGAAAAAAAATTAGACCTATCTGGTTGTATGGAAGTGTTGAATCACTATATTCTACACCTGAAACTGTTATTACATTGTATGTTAACCAACTGGAATTTGAATAAAAACTTAAAAAGAATTGTACCTCTCTGGAATCATTAAGTGTTAAGGAAGAATCATTCTTAGTATTTCAGTAATTCCTGAGACCATCGTAATAATATAGTACAGTAGAACTTTCTTCATCAATAATCAGAATCCTCAAGACAAGGACAGTTATTTTAATTATATTCTGTAAAAATTTATTTTCAAAATTCACCTATCTCTGTTGATAAATTATGGTGTTTAAAGGGAGTTTATACTTCATTTATATGGAATAAATTTGCTTTAGTAATTTGGGATTAGTGAGTTGTTATATACTATACAGTGATTTTTAAGCTAGTATTTGCTCTATAGGTAACTCATATTGATTTCTTGTGAAGTTTTCTCCATCTGCCTTTTATTTAGTTAAATAAATTTAGAAAATATTAGGTAATTTAGATATGTGAAGGAACAAGATAGTAAGAAATCATGTCTGTAGGCAGCAGGCATCTTTATTTTAAAATACCAACAAACTCTTTCTTATTCTGTTGAAGACTCAGTTTTGATTGCTTGACTGGTGATCAGTCATGTATTAGTAATAGAATTTCCTTTGAAGTACACCAAATTATAGAGATTTAATTATATGTTTTAGAGACTGCCAACAATGTTCCATATCCATAGAGCAATTATGTTTAAAAAATAACTGAAACTTATTTATAATATTTTACATTATTAATAGTTAATACTGTAATTCAGTAATATGATAGTCTGCATTTAAAGTATAAAACTTTAGTGATGCATTTCCATTTCCTTTTATAGGGTATCATATTTGTGCTATAGAAAAACTAATTAAATGTTTATTTCATTAAGAATTTATAGATATATTTTTCAAGATTTGATATTTGAATGAAAGGAAGTTTTATATATGTGTATATGTATATATGCATATCTATTTTAATGGATACTATTAAATAATATAGGATTGCACTTGTATCTAAGTTTTTATATTGTGCTATATATGTTCACATACTATATATATTTTATAACTAATATGTTGTCCTAATTAAAAACAGTTAAACATTTAACCAGTTATTTTTACAGAAAATAGTTATGCAGATTGAGTCCATGTTTTATAATGTTTTGATGCTAATTAAATAGCAGTATTTAAATTAGATTTTTCTGTTTTTCTAACATATTTAAGAGTATTCAGGTTTTGTAGTGAGCATCTAAGAAAGAACATATTGTGACAGAAGAATAAGGAAAAGTCCATATTGTAAAATGTGTTAACAGTTGTTTCTGCAATGACCAGCATATTAGGTGTGTCTGGATTTGGCTCTTGTTTGACTGGAGTTCTTAAACCACTTGAAAATATGACCCACCAATTATAGATAATTTTGCATTCCAATAGATTTAAAAATTCAAAACTAGACCTAAAGCAAGTTACTAAAGAGGGAACTAAGTGTAAATACATTTATTTGTCATATATTTTATATGAAATTATATAGAAACATACTAAGTATTTTTATATGTTCTGTATGTAAATTTTCAGTAAATTATTATATGAATGTTAGAAAAAATCTAGCAATTGCATAAATTTGCATTTGGCTTTAGTAATAGCCATTACATCTCCATTTATAATTGCTCTATTGAATAAAAATAGAAATAAGAAATGAATCCTGTTTTGTTTTATTGACCTAATTTGAAGTACACCATGCTTGCATTTCCTTTTAGAATTCAAGCTCAGCTCTGAAATCCTAGTCCCACTTTCATTATCACCCTTGAGCATCCACAGTTGGGATTATCGATTTGGGTTTTGAAAGCTGCAACTTAATGGACACATATTAAAAGATATTCCAGGTGATATATATTAAGCCCAACAATCTCTAGTGTGGCATGCTTCCAAAGATTTTGTTCATACTATTATTTTTAAAAATTATCAGAGGTTTGTAATGCATGTGCTTATAATGTATTACAAAAACAAATCTTTGATGCCCAAGTTGGTATTTTGTGATTTGGCTAAGCAAAAATGAAAAGTGGGGGAGGAGGCTTGTCATGCAGCTTGATAAAAAATCCTGACGCCTTTTTGCTTCAAAATCACAAAATATCATTTAAAATAAAATCCTTTATACAACTTTCTACGCCATACTTGGGACTGTTGTGCTTGAATATATCCTTGCGTTTATTCTTCATTAATACAATTGATTATATTTGCATTTTTCGCAAGAGGCATATTTGAATGTTCTAACTGCATGAGTTCTTTTGTGATCTTTGATTAGTGTATTTAGTCAAAACAACAGCATTCAATTTGGGTTGTTAGCAATTAGTTCCCCCCTCCCTTTGTAAAAGTGATTGTTAATTTTTAATGTAAATATTCAAAACCTGGGGCATGAAAAGAAAATGCAATGAATGCAATGAGGTTCTTTTATTTTAAAATAGGAGAATACATAATACGTTTACTTTTACTTTCTCAGAAAATAAGTGCCTGGATCAATATAAAATTGCTTTTGTGTATATAAATGAATAATAGTATCTGTGCTTTATTACCAAAATATGGTGTTGTCAAACTCTTACTCATTTGTTACATTTTATATTTATATATTAGGATCTAAAAGAAAAAGAGAATGATGAGCTTGATATTCAGTTGAAAGTATTTGATGAGAACAAAGAAGATGACCTAAATGAATTATCACACCGTCTCAATGACATTCGAGCAGAAATGGAATATCCTTTTGACAAACCATTAAAATAATTTTGCATGTATTGTGAAAAAAAAGGATTTGTGGTTGATTTTGTGGACCATTATTAGAATTCTTGTCTGCCAGCCCAATTTATATTCATTTATTTATTTTAATACCTCACTATGATGCTGTCCTTGAGATTCATGTTGAGGAATTGTCAGATTGTCCTGATGATTTACACAAACTATCCTGAAATCTGCAGTGGCTTGCTGTATTATAGATGTATTCAGCTCAATAGTCTTGAATAGACAAGAACCTAAGGCATATACCTCACATACAAGAATTTGAGGGGAAAAGTTCACTGAGTTCATAAGTAACTGTAGGTAATATACTTCTTCAGTTTATTAAAATGTACTCAAATGGTTTAGAGATACAATTCAATTCATATAAATGCCTTACTCTCAATCCAACTATTTTGGTTCCTTAGTGAAAAAAAAAAGTGTAGATGTGATAGTATCTGACTATAACAAGGCTGTCTGGTAGAAGCATTTGAGTCAAAAACAACTAGTATATAATCTTCCTATGGCAACAATTTTATATGAAATGATTTTAGATCTAAAAGAAGGTTGTCACAGCATTGCTGACCATTTGTTTCACACTCAGTAAATTTCTTGCTTATGGGTTTTGGGGAGATTGGGAAATACTTCAGAAATAAAATGACCTTTGAGATGGAATTTTTCTGTTATATCTTCTTCCCTGTTTCTCCCTGCACTGCCCCCCCAAAAAAAGCTGGAATATTCCTCTCCTTGAAACCTCTATAGTACTTTCTATCTGTCTTATTTATGTGCACTTCTGTGCCCCTATGAGATTGAGGGCAGAAGTTTTATGTTTCATCTTTTGCCTCCAATGCTACTATTGAAGTATATTATAAATAAGTATTGGATAAATGTGTGTGCAGTGGCTAACTATGTTATTATTATAAGGGATCAATGCTAGTAATTTCTTATCCATCATTAGTGACTCTAGTCTACAGTCATTTCCATAATATTAAATGCTTTTTATATTAATATATATCTTGCTTCCTTTGTATAGATTTCTCTTATAATCAAACTTCTACCATAAAGCTATTTTGGGTTTCATTCTGTAACCATTTGAAAGACCTTATGAGACTTTAACACAACACTGTTACATGGGGTCTAAGAAATAATCCATCATATACTTAATTCTACTTCAGAGAAAATGTTGACATATCAGATTATTTTTGGAATGTTGGATTACATTTCCTCTTCTACCTTTTACATTGATTTTCCAGGTCCTCAGTTTTATTATAAAAGTGAATCCAGCTTTGAAATTTGTTGTCTAGTTTATTAAAAGCATCTAAACTTTTTCCACTCTTTTTATATCCTAAGAAAAATGTTTCAAGTTCTATTGTCTTTACTTTCCATTTTTACTAAATAATGGAATACAAATGAATGCAGACAATAACAATTTCACATTATTAAATATTTTATCAGTATAAAATAAAACTGGTTTGTGATATTTTAGCAGTCCATAGAATGTTCCATTACCTTCTATATTATGTGGTGGTGAAAATAGAGGAGTAGTGGCTTACATGAATAATGTAGGTCCTCTATCACAGCCACGGGAAGATCAAGAGTAAACCGTTTTCTCTAATGGCATTGCTGTTCCAATCATACTACTATCTGTAATTTATAATGAATAACTGATTGCTTAAGGTTTTGTTGATTAAATGGCCTTGGAAATATTCTTTAAGTCTGTTTCTCTCATTAAAAGATTAAAGTGATTCCGTAGGTTAAATTTATTTATGTAAATTTTAAAATACCGGAGTTGAAGGTTTAGAAACAATAAGGGAAACAAAATGGTACTTCAGTGTTTTAAAAAACGAAGCTGCTTTTGTTATGAATGGAACTTTCATTAAGGGTTTTAATTTTTTTCCTTTACTTACTTTCACTGATATGAATGAAGTGTATCATCTTCTATATAATATGTTGAAGGACACTGCTGCTGAAAATTACTTATTATCCATTCTACAACATTTTTTGCTCATCAGAAATGATTATTACGTCAGGTAAGAGGTGGTTCTGAGAGTACTAGTATTTGTGTAATTTGAATTTGATATTTAAGGAAAACTAATAATGTAGTTCATGCTAGGTACTATATGCAGATGTATGTACATACATAGTGTATAAGAGTTTGATGACTTAGCATAACATATTTTAGAAGGTGTGAATTTATTTTTAATTGGGCCAGAAGGATCTATTTATAAAACTGGATACCCCAGTGACAGGACATTTAGTAGCAAAGAACCCAACATATTTTCCTGACCTTGTAATGAATTTTCTTTGCTAGATAATGATAGCACAGAATAAGCACTGAAGTGTCTGCGGTGGAACTTTTAAGTTCATGTACATTTTATTTTATTTTTTTAAGTTCATGTCCATTTTAACAAGTTAGGTTTTACTTTTATTTCTCCTTTCTAGTATTTATTTAATAATAGATGTGATCTTAGCTAAGAAAATAATAGTAATATTTCAGCTTTATATCCAGTAATACAATTCTTCAAGATAAATGATTATGATGATAATAAAGTTAGAAGTTTCAGAGTCTAGTAACTGCAAATATATCTGAAAACCAGAAAGTTAGAGAAAGGTTTCTGAGTGACTGAAATTATCTATAAGCTGTGGTCATGATCTTATATGTAACTATTCAAGAGACTCTTAGTTGTTCTTCATACTCTAATATGCATGAAATTCTGGCAACCTAGGTTCTCTGATTTCTCAGAATTTGCTTGATTAAATGGTAAAGGCAGGCAACCATGGGTCAGGTATAGTTGCAACAAAGATGACAGTTCTAAAGTTATATAGAAAGCTATTATAGTTCAGACTTTTACAATAATTCATGGACATCATGATGTTACAGAGACAAAGAAAAGTGGTTAAAGGGCAACCCTCTCGGGTCCCCTCCCTCTTTGGGAGCTTTGTACTATCTCTTTGCTATCGCTCGATAAACTTTGCTTTGCTACCCACCAAAAAAAAAAAAAGGAAAAAAAAAGAAAAATGGCTAAAATAATTATATGCTGTTTTCTTAAAACAGGAAATATGGTAATTAAAATGTTTTCTAATGTTCTGGCAATTAAGTGGGTACTGTGCCTATGGGTACACAGTTACCTAGGGAAATAATTTTCATGAAACCATCCATTTCTCAGTAACTTTCAATATATAATAGTTACTCTAATATGACATCTTTTTCATCCTGGGAACATCGATGTGAAGTACAAGTGCGACCAGCACTTTTATTATACTTAGAGATAATTAACATGGCCTTAAAGAGAACACTTGTGTTTTCCTTGTTTACCCAAAAAGTCATTTACTGGACTGATGATAATCCAATATTATTTATCCTAGAATTGTTGATGACTTGAAAAAGCCTAAAATGGGTTAATGTATATTACTATTTAATCTTACTCTTGAGGCCAGCCCCATGACAAAAAAAACATATAAGAGCAATTAGACTCTGTTTGGCTTTGTTTGCAAACTTTTAGTAGGTTGGCTAGTTATCAGCACACTAATCGTAAGAATGTTATCATAATTTCTCTATACAATATTTCTTTCTGATGTTTCTCTGTTGAATTTACTGGCCACTGATAAATACTAAATTTTCCCTGAATTTTAATGCAAAAAGTGACTTTAAAAAATTTTTGAAGTATGCAAGTAGTTATTATTTAAGGCCAGAATTATCTTGATAGATTACAAAATTAGGATATGTTTAAAAACGTTTGACACTTTGAATGAATTCAGGCTATGGCCATGCATATTAAGTGTGTATGCTTCTATAAAATGAATCTTAAAAACGTGCATAAATAGATCTTCGGAATTTTGTGGGTCAGTCTAGTTTTGTAAGCGATTATAGCTAATCTTGAGTTAAAGTGTTGTAGTAAATTTAAGACATTGCCACCTAATGCCAAGATACTCATCTCTTCCTGAAACTGAAAACTTGTAGAGGCTTAGAACCATTTCTGTATCCATGGATATAGAACTAACAGGCCATTTATTTTCATTAACTTTAGGAACAATAAGTTTGTAGATAGGTTGATAAGTATCTTTGTACAAAGGCATGAATTCCTAAAAACTAGAGTATTAAGTCACAAGTGTTCACAATTGATTACATTATGATAGGTTTTATACTATAATGTCCAGACCATCGTTAAGTTTAGGCATAATTCTCTTAAGGGAATGCAGTGGCTTGAAAGAGTTCTTTTAACAGTGCTAGAAAAAGACTTAGTTCTTTTATCATGCTGAACCACTTTTTTAAAGAGTTTATGTATTTATTTACTTGAGAGAGAGAGAAAGAGAGGGAGAGACAACATGAGCGAGGGGAAGGACAGAGGGAGAAGGAGAGAATCTAAAGCAGACTCCACAGTGAGCATGCAGCTCCCACAAGGTGGGGGGCCATCGATTTCGTGACCCTGAGATCATGACCTGAGCCAAAATCAAGTGTCGGATGCCTAACCAGCTGAGCCACCCAGGTGCCCCTGAACCACTTCTTAAGAAAATTGGCTTGTATAGGTAGAAAAGATATTCAGGAATACTTTCTCTCTTTCAGGCCACAGTATTACAAAATAATTGAGGAGTGCGTTTCACAGATAGTGCTGCACTGCAGTGGTATGGACCCAGATTTCAAGTATAGGCAAAGATTAGACATTGATTTCACGCATCTGATAGGTATGTAATATTATCCTCAATGTCATTTGATTGTGTTTCACTCTCTTCTGTATAATAGTCACTTTCTGAAGGTAGTGCTCTCACTGAACTTCCTTTATTAAAATCTGGTAAGTCTTTGTGTCTGTGAGTACTGAATCACTATAATTGTTAATTATGTTGATCATGAGAGTTCTGCTTGTGTGGTGGAAAATATTAAGCTATTTGATACGTTTTAATTCTCTTGAATTCAGTTTAAAATCAGTGGTGCACACACACATAGGAAAAACATATTATAGATGAATGCTTTGCTCTTTAGAAACATGACTCTGAAATCCTTTGATTCAGTTTATATTGGCACCTCAGTGGTTTTATAGAAATCACATGTGCAGTAGGTATTAGTGTTCAAGTTTGAGAAAGGAAACACAGGCTTATTTCAGTAACTTAAGACTTTTTAATTCTATCAAAGTAGATCAGTTTATAATTTTTGTAGACCTTAAAGCTAGGAAAGAATTTGAGGTGATGATGTTCATCTACTTGGATCAGTAAGGAAATTAACTTACATGATCCTAGACTACTAGTTAGCTGTACTTTCTGGAGCAGTCTCTGAAGGATAATGTGAAACCTCTCTTGTGAAATATGCTGTTATATGACATTACAGTTAAACAGTTTTTGTACCTAATTAAAATCACTATTGCTAAGATTTGGGCATGAACTCATTTGTCTTGTCGTTAAAGGAAGAAAACAACAGCTGTGGAATGCCAATTTTATATTATTGTTCACTCCATAGCACAAGGCAAACTCACAGTAATATTCAAAGATGAATTCCTTATTATTATTATATATTATTTTCTGATTTTAAAACCAATACTCATTTATTCCAAGCAATCTGGAGGCTTATGTAAGTGACAATAAACCACCAATCTCACTTTTCAGCTCAGTACATTCCACCACCATTACTCACTTTTTGGCTAAGTACATTTTCTTATATCTTATTTTTTTTTTATCTCTTTCTCTATATGCTGATTTTTAATGGAGATTTATAATATGAAAATTTTTTTCATGTTAACCTTCAAAATGTGACTTTGGATGTCTGTATAATATTCCATTTTATGGAATATCGTAACCATCTTGACCAGTCCTTTCTTATTGTACATCTAGATTGTTTTCAGGTTCTTGCAATTATAAATGAATCTGCTATGAACATTCTTTGCATAAATGTTTGCCTTTTTCTTGCCATTTCCTTAGGATTGATTCCTGTAATTGAGGATATGATCTTAGAAAAGCCAGATGCTTTTCAGAAAGTGTGCATCAATTTACCTTCCCTAAGAATTAATGTAAATGCTGGCTTCTGTGCAAATTTGATAATAAGCTTGATAAACTCATTAGTTTATTTCATATTTTGTTGAGAATGTTATAAGGGAGTACTCTGTTGATTTTGACTAGCTCTTTCAGTGTTCAGTAGACATTTGTTTTTTGTGTACTGTGTGCTAGGTACGTACATTTGTGTATTGTTAGCACTGGGGTTGGGGAGATGAAGGCATTGAATGAGAGAGAATAGAGCTTCAGAAACCCATTATTACCTTATCCATGTGTTATCTCTGGTCTTGAACAAATCATTTAACTTCTCTGCTTTAGTTTTATCAACTGTAAATTCAGATAAGTCAAATATATGCATGTTCTGAATATTTTATGGTTAGAGGACATTTTCTGATGAATGCTTCGGAACTTTGATTAGAGCCACACACATGTGCATAAATGCAAAAATTAGCAGGTGCTTCAAGAACTTATAGGAAATCAATGGAACTTGATTTTAAAATCACCTAGACTTGAGGAACAGAGTCTCTTTACAATTCTGTAAGTCTAGTATTTTTCATAAATTTGATCAATTTCTTGCCCAAAACTCTTCAATACCTTCCCACTGAAATTTAAATCAAGATCATTATCAATCATTGACAGCACAGCAGAGATCTGCCCCCTCTTTGTCTCATCATTTACCAATTTCCACCTTAGTTCTTTACACACAGTTCTTTAAAAAACAAAACAAAACAAAATAAAACTTTATTGAGGTGTACTTGACATGAGAAAAACTATCCATTATTAAGAACATAATTTGGTAGATTTTGATATTTGTATGTGTACTTAAAACCATCACCACAGCCAAGATAATAAACATTTCTATCACTCTGTCAAGTTTCTGTGTTCTCCTTTGTAATCTCTCCTTCCCATGTCTCCCCATCTCTCTCCATCCTGAGATAATCACTTATCTGTTTTCTCTTACTATAGATTATATAGGATGTACTCTCTTTTTGTCTGGCTTCTTTCATGTAGTGTAATTGTTTTGAATTTCCTTCATGTTGTTATAGTGCATGTATCGATAGTTTATTCCTTTTTATAAGTGAGTAGTATTCTAGCATATGGATATACTGCAATTTGTTTATACATTTACTTGTTGATGGACATTTGGGTTCTTTCTAGTTTTTGGCTATTATAAATAAAGCTGTCATGAATCTTCATATACAAGGGTATTGACATATGTTTTCATTTCTTTTGGGTGAATAAATAGGTGTGGAATGGCTAGATACATAATAGAGTCGTATATGTAGTAATAAGAATATTACCAAAATGAGGTTCTTCAGTTATTTATATTTTGGAATATTTGATTAGAGCTGAGAAATTTAATATTTATTTCCTTATTTACATAATACATTCTGCCTCAGATCAGAAGTTACCTAAGCGAAATCTTTCTGTAGAAAAGCTGAATTAATGAATGCTGTCGTATCCCCCATTCTAGCCTTATTTTAAAGGTCATTTTGAGTCTTAATAATCTTAAGAATAGATTCTTTGTCACCTCTCCACCCATACTAAATTGCAAAAAGTTTTAAGGAATTATATTATTGTAAAAGTTGGGAAATATTTGAATACCTCTAAAATGATGATGATTTAGTCAAATATATTCTTGAATGCTTGGTTTTGTGACTCAACAATACTATCATTGAATTCAGTTAGTATGCAAAAAATTGTGGTAGTTTTTGTTTTATGTGTAGTATAGGTCAATTTACCTTTAATAGCAATTGACATAAAAATGATTGTCTACGTAGAATTACAGGCTGGCAGTCATCTTTTGCCCAGAGATCTGATGCAATAATTTCTAATCATTTTTTGTCAATCTTAATAGATTCTTGTGTGAACAAGGCAAAAGTTGAAGAAAGTGAACAAAAAGCAGTGGAATTTTCAAAGAAGGTAAGGCTTATGTTAGCCATAATTGTTAAATTAATTATTTATTTACAATATGTATTTTATCTTCTTTATGTGAGGCTTTATGAATGTTGTTTCAGTTTTATAGTACTTCATGTTTCTGGATTAAAACAGAACCACAGAATATTGATTTCATTCCTGATAAGATAAGGTTGCTACTGTTCCCTCCTCATGACCTTTAATTTATTATGGAAGAAAAACACTAACTATATTCTACCAAAGTGATAAATGAAATAAAATTAGTTTATTGGAAGGATATAGTTTGAAGCAATCAACCAAAATATAGTCCCCTCATTGTTTTCTTGCAGTTCTCACTTACAATATGTACCTCCTTTGGAGAACTGTTAGATTTTTAGCTAGTCTAACCTATTATTGCTATTTAAAGACAGTGCTATTAAATAGCATTAGAACGACATAGTGTTTTATCTCTTTCTGTCTCTCTCTGCTTAGATTTATCTTCTTTGAATTTTATAATTACCACTTTTAAATGGTTCTGCAACTTCATGTAGGCTTGGTGGAATTTGAGGTTCCCCTTTCTTTGTATGTTAATGCCTTATGGAAATACAAGTTTTATGGCTGCCTTAATTTTATTTGGATTTTAGGTTGTCTTTTCCTTGTTTCATGAAAGCATAACTACAGTTGTACTAGTTTCTACCAAAAGTTGAATTTTTTTTTCTAGATCCTATAAAGGATTAGTATAGTAATTCTCTCCTGTTGGTGCAGGGAGAAGGATTGAAGCACAAGTCTAAAAACTCTCCAGTTTTCAGCCTTCTGACAGCAAGATAAAGTGCTTTACATATTGCTGTCTCTTCAAAGTTATGACTTACCTTGGAGATTAGATAATCGCTTTTGCTATCACTCTAGAAGTTATAGAGTATTACTGAAGTTACTTCAGGGCATCTGAAGAAATGCCTTTGCTCTTTCAGTTACTAGATTAGATTTTCAGAGCTTGAGCATAAAATGTTTGTGTGAAGTTGTCATTTTTATTGGTGAAAGAAAATGCATGCTTTTTAATAGACCTTTATATTTGTAATGTTCTTGTTTTAAGTAGCACATTTAAAATTCCCTTTGAAAATCTTAAGTCTCCTTAATTTTTCACTGACACTTTGATTAAACACCACAAGACTGGTACAAACTGTGATGATCTGTCTGGCAAAATTTTCTGTTAGCATATATTATGGGAAATGGAGTCCTGAAATAATTTTTTAAAAAAAGCATTTCAGTGTTTAGTGCTTTATTCTCATCTCCAACGTTTAGAATAAAAACATGTATGGTCTCCCAGTGGTTATCTGAATGCCTTCTCTTGTTCTGGGTGATTTTAAGAGGCCATGTAAAGTAGTAAAAAATGTAGGGTGGCTAGAATGAGAAGCAGTAGTTGTAAGATCTGATATTAGCTTTTCCACAAATTAGCTGTGACTTTAAGTAAGCCACTTATTCTCTTTGGGTCTTAATTTTGTCATCATTAAAAGAAGAGGATATGTTTAGTGGCCTTGTAAAAAGTCTTCCAACCTGCATATCTCAGACTTCTGTGATTCCTACTCTATGGGTTTATAGATTAAGATCACATTAAATTACAAGCAGAAACATTGCATGCCTCTTTTCAAATGTACAAATAAATAATTTATAGAGGAAAGCTGTACAGTTTGTATCATGCTTAAAAAATACACAGGAGAATCTTACATTCGGAGGGAGGGTGGAAGTAGAGAGTAAGTCTTAACATGAATAGTATAGTGCAGTTAAAAAAGCATCTTCTCAGTGACCTAGGAAACATGGTCATTTACTAACTGTGGAGGATCTGGGGTGGGTTTGAAATTTTTAAAGATGAGAAACAATTTGGACTAACCTCTGTGGAACATTTTCTATGAACGCAAGTAGAGAGGAATAAAAGAATTAATTAGCATTTCATGTTTGACCCAGACATTATTGTAATCCAATTCCATTACCTGTTCTTTCTTCAGACTTGGATTGGTTTGACATTTTTTAATTTCCAAAGGTAAAATCTATGAGTATGAGTATTTATTAACAGTGAAAATACTTTTTTATTGTTCCACAAACTCTAAAGACAATTCTGGAGAGTAAGACAAATCAAATTTAGAAACAGAAATAATATAATTGGAAAAATATTTTGCCTTCTAAAATGACTTGAAGTGACATTGATAATAAAGGACATATATTCTATAGATGAATATAAGCAGTATTTACTCTATGTATGCAGGCTTGTTTGTTTCGGCTTGGTGCCCTGACTGAGGTTAGGGATGGGCAGGATGCAGTAAATGGATATTCACCATTGAGATGGTCTCTCCTGCTTAGCACACCATTATGAATGTATGTATGTATGTATATATGTATGTTTCAAGTTTTTATTTAAATTCTAGTTAGTTAACATATAGTGTAATATTAATTTGCAGTAGAATTTAGCGACTCATCACTTACATATAACACCCAGTGCTTATCACAAGTGATGCCCTCCTTAATACCCATCACCAGTTTAGCCTATTTGCTCTTTGACATCAACCATAGCAACCTGTTACTGGACATGCCCTTAATACCCATCACCAGTTTAGCCCATTTGCAGTTTAGCCCAGTTGCTCCTCTCCAGCAACCCTGTTTGTTTTCCATAACTAAGAGTGTCTCTTATGGTTTGCCTTCCTCTCTTTTTAAATTTTCTTTCCCTTATGTTCATCTGTTTTGTTTCTTAAATTCCACATATGAGTGAAATCATACAGTATTTCCTTCTCTGACTGACTGAACTCGCATAGCATAATACACTCTAGCTCCATCCACATCCTTGCAAGTGGCAAGATTTCATCCTTTTGATGACTAATATTCCATATATATGTGTGTGTACACACACACCACATCATCTTTATCCATTCATCAGTCAGTGGACATTTGGGCTGTTTCCATAATTTGGCTATTGTTAATAATGCTGTTATAAACATCTGGGTGCATGTGGCCCTTTGATTCAGTATTTGTGTATCCTTTGGGATACTAATACTTAGTAGTGCAATTGCTGGGTCGTAGGGTAGTTTGATTTTTAACTTTTTGAGGAACCTGCATACTGTTTTCGAAAGTGGCTGTACCAGCTTGGATTCCCACCAACAGTGTAAGAGGGTTCCCCTTTCTCTGCATCCTCACTACCATCTGCTATTTCCTGTGCTGTTAATTTTAGCTGTTCTGACCATTGTGAAGTGGTATGTCATTGTAGTTTTGATTTGTATTTCCCTGACAGTGATGTACAGCATATTTTCATGTGTCTGTTGGTCATCTGTATGTCTTCTTTGAAGAGACGTCTATTCATGTCTTCTGCCCATTTCTTAACTGGATTATTTGTTTTTTGGGTGTTGAGTTTCATAAGCTCTTTATAGATTTTGGATACTAATCTTTTATCACATGTGCCATTTACAAATATCTTCACCCATTCCAAAGTTCACCTTTTAGTTTTGTTGATTGTTTCCTTCGCTGTGAAGAAGCTTCTTATATTGAAAAAGTACCAATAGTTAATTTTTGCTTTTGTTTCTTTTGCCTCTGGTGGACATGTCCAGAAACAGGTTGCTATGGTTGATGTCAAAAAGATTGCTGCCTGTGTTTTCCTCTAGGATTTTTCTGGCTACCTATCACACATTTAGGTCTTTAATCTATTTTGAATTTATTTTTGGGTATGTTGTAAGAAAGTGGTCCAGTTTCATTCTTTTACATGATGCTGCCCAGTTTTCCCAACAGCATTTGTTGAAGAGACTGTCTTTTTTTCCATTGGATAATCTTTCCTCCTTTATCAACGATTTGTTGAGCGTATGGTTGTGGGTCCATTTCTGGGTTTATTAATTAATCTGTTTTATTAATTGGTGTATCTGTTTTTGTGACAGTACCATACTATCTTGATGACTATAGCTTTGTAATAGAGTTTGAAGTCCAGAATTGTGAAGTCTGAATCTTTGCTTTGCTTTTTCAAGATTGTTTTGGCTGTTCGGGGTCTTTTGTGGTTCCATACAAATTTAAGGATTGCTTGTTCTAGCTCTGTGAAAAATGCTGATGGTATTTTGATAGAGATTGCATTGAATGTGTAGATTGCTTTGTGTAGTATAGACATTTAACAATTTTCTTCCAATCCATCAGCATGGAATGTTTTTCCATTTCTTTGTGTCCTTTTCAATTTTTTTCATATGTGTTCTATAGTTTTGAGAGTACAGATCATTAACTTCTTTGGTTAGGGTTATTCCTATGTATCTTATGGCTTTTGGTGCAATTGAATATGGGATCATTTTCTTGATTTCTCTTTCTGTTTCTTCATTATTGTGTATAGAAATGCAACACGTTTCTGTACGTTGATTTTGTATCCTGTGATTTTACTGAATTCATGTATCCATACTGGCAATTTTTTGGTTCAGTCTTTTGGCTTTTCCACATTAAAAAAAATGTAGTCTATGAAGAGTGAAAGTTTGACTTCTTCCTTGCCAATTTGGATGCCTTTTATTGTATTATTGCTGAGGCTAGGACTTCCAGCACTATGTTGAACAAATGATGAGAGTGGACATCCCTGTCGTGTTTCTGACCTTAGAGGAGAAGCTTTTAGTTTTTCCACATTTAGGATGATATTAGCTGTGGGTCCTTCATATAAAGTCCTTATGATATTGAGGTATGTTTCCTCTATCTCTACTTTGTTGAGGTTTTTTATCAAGAATGGATCCAGTACTTTGTCAGATGCTTTTTCTGCATCTATTGAGAGGATCATATGGTTGTTATCCTTTCTTTTATTAAGGTGGTGTATCACGTTGATTGATCTGTGAATATTGAACCACCCTTGCAATCCAGGAATAAATCCCACTTGATTGTGGTGAATGATTTTTTTTAATGTATGTTGGATTCGTTTTGCTAGTATTTTGATGAGAACTTTTGCATCCATGTTCATTAGGAATATTGGTTATATATTCTCTTTTTTAGTGGGATGTTTGTCTACTTTTGGAATTGAGGTAATACTGGCCTCATAGAATGAGTTTGGAAGTTTTCCTTCCATTTCTATTTTTTGGAACAGTTTGAGAAGAATAGGTATTAACTCTTCTTTAAATGTCTGGTAGAATTCCCCTGGGAAGCCATCTGCCCCCAGTGTTTTGTTTGTTGGGAGTTTTTTGATTTCTGATTCAAATTCTTCTCTGGTTATCAGTCTGTTTAAGTTTTTTATTTCTTCCTATTTTAGTTTTGGTGGTTTATATGTGTTTAGAAATTTATCTATTTCTATTTATTTATATGTGTTTAGAAATTTATCTATTTCTATTTATCTATTTCTTCCACATTTGTCAGCATAAAGTTTTTCATAATCTCTTATAGCTGTGTTTCTGTGGTGGTGATTGTGATCTAGCCTCTCTCATTTGTGATTTTATTTATTTGGTTCCTTTCTCTTTTCTTTTTGAGAAATCTGGTAGGGGTTTATCAATTTTATTCTTTCAAGGAATCAGCTCCTAATGTCATTGATATGTTCTACTGTTTTTTTTTTTATTTCTATATCATTTATTTCTGCTCTAATGTTTATTATTTCCCTTCTGCTGGCTTTAGGCTTCATTTGCAGTTCCTTTTCTAGATCCTTTAGGTGTAAGGTTAGTTTGTGTATTTGAGAGTTTTTTGCTTCTTGAGGTAGGCCTATATTGATTCCCTCTTATGACAGCTTTTACTGCATCCCAAAGGTTTTAGAATGTCATGTTTTTAATCCATTCTGATAGCCTATGTCTTTTGATTGGAGCATTTAGTTCTTTGACATTCAGAATAATTATTGATAGATATGAATTTTGTGCCATTGTATTACTTGTAAAGTTGTCATTTCTGGAGATTTTCTCTGTTCCTTTCCAGTTTTTGTTACCTTTGGTCTTTCTTTCCTACTCAAAGCATCCCCTTTAATATTTTTTGCTGGGTTGGTTTAGTGGTCATGAACTTCTTTAGTTTTTGTGTTTCTGGGAGACTCTTTATCTCTCTTTCTATTCTTAATGAGATCCTTGCTGGATAGAATATTCTTAGCTGCATATTTTTTTGTTTTCAGCATGTTGAATATATCATGTCACACTCTTCTGGCCTGCCAAGTTTCTGTGGAAATGTCCATTGCTAACCTTATTTGTCTTCCCTTGTATGTTTTAGATTTATTTTCCCTTGTTGCTTTTAGGATTTTTTCCTTATCTCTATATTTTGTAAATTTTAACCATGATATGTCTTGGTGTTTGCCTGCTTTTGTTGATTTTGATCAGCATTCTCTGTGCCTTCTAGGTAAGGATTTCTGTTTTGTTCCCCAGATTAGGGAATTTTCCTGCTGTTATTTCAATTAAATTTTCTGCCCCGTTTTTCTCTCTTCTTCTTCTGAGATTCCTATAATACAAATATTATTGTGGTTTGTGGACTCTGCTAAATTCCCTAGGTCTACATTCATGATCAAACATTTTTCTTTCCTTCTTTTTAACTTCATTATTTTCCATAGCTTTATCTTCTGTATCGCTTATTTGTTCCCCTGCTTCTTCCATCCATGTGGATAATTACACACAGTGGGTTTCACATTTCGGCTATAGCATTTTTTATTTTGGCCTGACTAGTTTTTCAGTCTTTTATCTCTGTGATAAGGGACTCCCTGGTGTCTTCTGTTGTTTTCTCAAGCCAAGATAGTATCCTTATGAATTTCTCTTAAATTCTGAATCAGGTATATTACTTGTATCTGTTTCTAGTAGATCCCTGACCATGACCTTTTCTTGGTCTTTCTTTTTGGATGAGTTCCTCCATTTTGGTATTTGGTCTAGGTCTCTGTCTTCTTCTGTGTGCTAGTAAAGCCTGATATGTTTCCTGCTCATGAGAGTAATAGCTTTATTATGGAGAGGTCGTATATACTCCAGCACCTGACACTTCAGGAACTGCTTCTGGTGTATGCTGTGTACACTCTGCTGCTGTTTTTTGGCTGCTCTTTCCCCAGGTCAGTCCTCTGCAGAGTTTCTTCTTGTCTCAAATGGGGAATGTTTGGATCTTGTGCATTATGTGTTGAGTTTTTCCTAGGTGTGCTCTAGTCTGCTTGTTAAAAGAGTCATGATCCTCTTTCCATTAGAGTTGAAGCTTTGTAGTACTCTATGGTCAGTAGACTTGGTGCATGTGGGGCATTTGTGCTGGTGTTCTGGGGGTGTGCCCCCCTGCATTGGTTCTCAGGCATACTTGCCCTCATAAAGAAGCTTCTTCAGAGCACAGTGAGGTGGGGCTTGGTGTAGGCTCCTCAGGCCTCTGCTATGTGGGGAGTTCATGCTTGCCAGTGTCTGGGAATCCCTGACAGAGGAGCGAAAAGTCTCTTCTTGTGTGTTCAGGCTTCCCTCAAATCCCTGCATTCACCCTTTATGTATCCAGGCCAGTTACCTCCCCAACAGTGCAGAGCACCTGTCTTTTATCTCAGGCACATCAGTTGAGTTTCAAAACTCATAACTTTTGGTACCTATTAAGCATGGACCCATGCTGATCCTCTGAGGAGTGTCACACCACCCTGGGGCTGGCGTCAGTTTGTCCCATAAGTGCAATTGCACCAACACGCAGGAGCTTGAAGTTTATAGTAAAGTGCAACAGAAAGCCAGCATCCAGGTTAGCTGCCCTCAGCTGCTGTCTCTTTCCCTATGCTAAGGAACTGGGCAGCACAATGCCACCTGATGGCTCTTTTGTCCCTGGAGATGCATTGCCTCCTCTAGCAGATACACTCCAAGAAGGAGGAACTTTCTTTTCTAGTGCATCCTAGGGGATCCTCAGACTGTGCCATCTGCTCCCAGGCCTCTGCCTCCTACACAGGTGTACCACTGCATCCCCCAGGCTTCACAATGGCCATGGTGCAGACTTCTAAATCTTAAGTCTTTTAGCTCTGCTGGTTGTAAAAACTCATGATAATCAGCCCCTCTCATTTTCCCAGTGTATGGTTTTGGGGAAGTGTTCTTGGTATGTGATCTTCTGTGCACTTTGTGCTTTCTCTCTTTCACTCTTCCACTCTGTTTCCTCTGTCCATGATTTGGGCTCCCTCCCCTCTACAGCATCTGTAATTCTTTATTACCCTAAATCACATCTCTGTACCCCCTACCTTCCACAGTGTGGCTCTTCTCTCCCTGTAGTTGTGCAGTTTGGTCTCTCAGTCCTCTTAACGATTTCTTGAATTCATAAAGATTTGATATTCATGTGGTTGTATTTGAAGGATGAGGCAAACATTGGTTCCCCTACTCTTCCACCATCTTAACTCCTTCCCCCAACACATCATAATTTAACCTCTCATTTTCTCTCTTTTAGTATTTTATGCAGGTATTTTGGTTAAACAGCTGAAGGAGAATTCCATTTAGGCTATCCATATATCATTCTACTGTCAGATTTTGTGGAATACCACTTTTTGGATGCTAGACAATTAAGATTGCAATAGAAATATTATAATTTGTGTTAAAGTACAATCATTTGAGCATTCTAAAAGTGTATTCTCTTTTCAAGGTTAAATATAGTTACAGAGTTGAACTGCTTGATGGTGAACTTTTAGGTTTCATTTTCTTTTTTTTTTTAAAGATTTTACTTATTTGTCAGAGAGAGAGAGCAAGAGCACAAGCGGGGGGGGGGGGCAACAGGCAGAGGGAGAAGCAGGCTCCCCATTGAGCAAGGAGCCCAATGCAGGACTCCATCCCAGGACCCTGAGATCATGACCTGAGCTGAAGGTAGACACTTAACCAACTGAGCCATGCAGGCATTTCTAGGTTTCATTTTCTAATTTGATAAAGTTAAATGTATAGGATGAAACATTAAAGAAAATAATTCTAAAACCTATTTTTCAATAACAGAACAGTATAAATGTCCATTATATGCAAAGAGAGACTTCTCAGTCCACCCTTTTAAAATTTTGTTTGGGGAACGCCTGGGTGGCTCAGTTGGTTCAGCATACCACTCTTGGTTTCGACTCAGGTCATGATCTCATGCATGGCAAGATGGGGTCCCAAGTCTCGCTCTGCACGCAGTGGGAAGTCTGCTTGAAGGTTCTCTCCCTCTGCCCCACCCCACATACTTTGTCTGTCTCTATCTCTCTCTCTAAAATAAATAAATCTTAAAAAAAATTTTTTTTTTTTGTGAAAATGGGTATTTTTTACCTTGGGTTGCTGCCATATTTCCTCTCTACTAACACCATAATCAGTAACCCACCCCAACAGGTGTGCTTAATTGTTATGAAAGTGATCTGGAGCTTTGATTTTCTGAATGACCTGGGAATTCAATAAAGCAAAAAACATTCCACTTATCTAATACATAAAGTTGTTTAAAACTTTCTCAAAACTATGTTATTAAGTGTACATTTATGGTGGTGATCATTGCAGTTTGATGAAGAATTCACAGCTCGACAGGAAGCTCAAGCTGAACTTCAAAAACGAGAAGAAAAAATTAAAGAGCTTGAAACAGAAATCCAGCAACTTCGAACCCAGGTAATGAAAGAAGGTATAGACTTTATGTCATGTCGTAGTGAGTTTGATGGTAGAAAATTATCTTGTTAGATGCAAGGAAAAATGTGACCAGAAGCAGACTTTTTGGCAGTTTTGCATTTTAGTTGAAATAACTCTACAGATTTAATTTTCCAGGACAATAAATAATTTTACTGTTTGGGTAAAAATAAGGTATTAGTTGCTTAAACTTCCCTCAATAGTTTTAATGGAATATATTACACAATCAAGAATGTTTAGGAGCAAAAATTTTTTGATGATTTGAAAAGTTGGATGCATAATTTCAAAACCTAGAAATTTTGCATTTCCTCCTGCATCACCTATGATGAGAAGCACTCATATACACTCAAGATCTTAGTTATGGTATCTAAACTTTAGAACTGATTAAGTCCTCTCAACACCTTATTTTTATTTTTTTAAATACCCTCGGCACTTTTTATGTTTTAAATGGTTATTAAGAAATGGAAGATTATCAGTGTTGTTGAGAATAATTTCCTTTTTCTGTGTATGCGTTTTCTTTTTAGTTTTTACTATGCATTTTAACCTACAAAGCCCATTAATGAAAACAATGATTGAGAAAATAAAATGGAAGAAAAAAATGTTCATTAAAACACAAAATTCAGCCACATAAATTTTGACAGTCTATTTGGCTTTATTAATGATTTATGAATTTGGCATCATTCCATTTAGTAAGCAGAGGGGAATTCCAGGGGGTTGTATAAAATGAAAGGTTTTTATGAAAAGAGGGTGGGGCAACAAGTTATTAGGGAAAGGAAAAGATCTTTTAGGCCCTGCCACTTTCCCTTAGGGGGAAAGCAAGAGGTCTTATGCAGATTACTTTATCTACCATTACGGGCTGGAGAGGACTTCTGTGGCTGACATATTGTCTGTTGATTTAAAAGTTCCTGACTCACCTGTTAAGACTATTTCTTGGGGATGTTGAAACTGCAGTTAGATTATGTATTAAGCTCTGGTTTGGGGACTGAGCCTAACTGATGCCATTTGGGGCCTGTGTTTTTTTTTTTTTCCCTAACAGCTCTTAACATAGTGCATGCTCAGTAGATGTTTATTGATTGACTAGATTTGTATCCATCAGTCTACTGAGAAATGACTTCAGAAGTTACTGATGAACTCTAAATTATTCAGTTCACTGCTTTTCATACCCTTAGTCTGTTTCACTTACCTATAATATTTGATAATTTCTTTCATTAAGTCATTCTCCTTTTTTGTATCATCTGCCTTCCCTTTTCACATCTCTGAGAACTCAGTTTCTTTTTGTTTTTGCACCCCCCCCAGATGGTGACATTCCTCAATGTCACCCTACCACAAGGCCTTACTATTTAGTGAGTAGTTGCTTATTTATTATTAATTTAACTGATCTGTAAAAAAGCAGAGTCACACAGTCCTTTCTAGTGTACCCAAAATTGTGCCAAATACTAAATTATTCATTAGCTATATTCAAATTCTCAATACTCTATTGTAGCCTAATTTAATTGTTGCATTCCTAATTGTTCATGAGAGGGAAGAGAAGGGCTGATATGATTTGATTTTTAAAGGCTGGTGGCATTTATTTGAGATTCTTTATTAAATTTGTGAAACATGCATTTAACTTGAGTAAAATCCTCTGTTAAAAGGGATAGCATTTTTATGGCTCCCCAAGTTTCATATCATAGATATGATCTAATGGAGTAAAAATTTGATGTTAACAAATATAATTTTGCTCTCTTTCAATAAAAAATTGGATATACATTTTACCTTTCAAAGTATTCAACAAAACTATTTACATAAAACTTGTAAATTACTAATTTCTTAAACTTTTCAGAAAAATTATTTTGATTTTCTCTATAATTTCTTTGATCTCAATCAAGATCATAAAAATCTGTTTTCTATAATTTTGCTACATTAAAAGTAAAATGAAAATAATTTTGCATATTGTAATACTTACTAATTTCAGGAGAGGATTGCATTCCAGAGGAGGATTGTTATTTGTTGAGTATATAAATACTTTAGTTGCATATATGTATATACACACATAAACATCATACATATGAATAAAAATATTGGAAAGTGCATATTAAATATTATGAGAAATGTTTCCATGATTCTATGATTGTTAATTTTTAATATGCTTATACATAGGTCAGTCCTTTAAATTGATTATTCTTCAAATATGCTTCAACTTATTTTGTAAAGCCATTTCTAAGTTTAGTTAGTACTTTTAAGTACTCCAACTTGGAAATTCATATTAGTAAAGATAAGAAGACTTTCTTCCCAAATAAAAATAACACTATGCCAAGAAATTTTATTAATTTTAAACTTTTCTTTCAGTTCATCTAATGTCATATCTTGATTACAAATACATCTGTTCATTGGTAGGATTTTCTTAGGAATGTTTATAATAACCAACTTCACTTTAATATTCATTTATTTTAGAAGTGAACCATTGTAACCAGCAATGGTTTAAAGAAACAGGTACAGATTAACTTAAAAAGTAAACAGTTTGGAATGAGATACAGTCCTTCATCTGTTATCCATTATCATTAGAGAATGAGGTTGAAGTCAATTTCTTATGGTAGAAGTAAGTTATACTGTCCTCATCATCCAGTCCGTGTGAATTAATCTTTTCATGGCAAGTGACTCCATGAGGAGATAGACTGCTATAGTGGAAAGAGGACTGCATTAGGTATAAGAACAACCCACATTCAAATTTAACCACATTTCAGACTCCGCTACCTTTGGTTAGTCATTTAACCTTTTTGTAGTTATGTTTTTTCTCATCTATAAGCAGTGAGATAAAGTTTAGATTAAAAATGCCCTACTTACTTTACAGGGTTATAATAACAATGAAAAGAAATAATAGCTGTAAAAACATTGATAAACATATATTACCACGCAAATGGATGTTACTCAGTATTAATTATTGGTACTAGAAGACTGCTAAGTTACTGGTGCTATGTGATAGACTGTGTAAAGCTAATTGGCTCCAAGGGAATCAGACCTTTGATTGTATTAATTATCTTATATTCAAACCAACTAGTCTAATAGGCTCAAGCCACTTCAGTACTTCTTTGCATGTATTTATAATGATAGGTAATTTTTCATTATTTTGGAGAGGTGTTTCACAAAATCTTTGAGGATGCCAACTTTTATAGTGTGTTAGCAGAAGTAGTCCTTGTACAGAGTTTATAATGCTTATCAAAAATCTATGGGAGTTTTTTGTTACTGTTAAGTCCTTTGATGTTACTAAATTAAATAAAGTGTATGTAATCTTGAACCCCCAATGTCTACTGATAAGTTTTCTTTGCTGTTATATTTTACTGTAAGCTTTTAAACATTGTATTACATATGTTTCAGGGACATGGACTCTCAGGTTCATCAGGAATTCCAGGTCCTCCTCCACCACCTCCACTGCCAAGTGGTGGGTCATCCCCACCACTACCACCTCCACCAGCACCACCTCTACCTGGAGGAACTCTCCCTCCTCCTCCACCTCCTTTACCTGGAATAATGGGTATACCACCACCACCACCACCACCACCACCACCACCACCTTTGTTTGGGGGACCTCCTCCACCACTTCCCCTTGGAGGAGGAATTCCTCCTTTCCCAGAAGCAGCACTTGATTTGCCTTATGGGATGAAGCAGAAAAAAATATATAAACCTGAGGTGCCCATGAAGAGAATCAATTGGTCAAAGGTGATTATGACTATGACTAGACTAGAGTATTTGACCAGATATTTTATGACTAGATTATTTTTGGCTTTCTCCAGCCATAGTTGATCATTAATATGTGAATAACTGTTGCTCCATATAAGTACTGTATAATGCTTGAGAAGATGACTGCTGACTTATGCTTTCCTTTGTGAGTTCACCATCTTATGTTTATCTTTCAGTCTAGTACCCTGTGAATTGGAAACTCCACAGATAATTGGAAATTAATGTAGAAGTCAAAAGGAAAACCAAAGTGAAAATGGTGCTAGAGAATAATATATAAAATATATCACCAAATGAAACATGATTTTGATTCTTGTACTGTTTTAAGTACTACAACATTCTTAAATATAATCTTTATTATTACTGAGCCTTTTTATCTTAGTTATTTTTGTTCTTAGAGAGTTTTTTTTGTTTTAGATTTTTTTTAAAGATTTTTATTTATCAGAGAGAGAGAACACGAGCAGGGGCAGGGGCAGAGGGAGAGGGACAAACAGACTCCCCACTGAGCATGGAGCATGATGCAGGGCTCAATTCCAGGACCCTGAGATCATGACCTGTGCTGAAGTCAGACACTTAACTGACTGAGCCACCCAGGCGTCCCTTTTTTGTTTTAGTTTTAAATATTTAGATAGTATGGAATAGTTGGCAGCATTCTGTCACTACAGAATAACCTAATTATTTTTTTAATGTAATTTATGAGGTTTTTTTCTTTTGAATGTTATTTTGCTTTTTTTTTTTCTTTCCTTGAGAGAGAGAATGCGAGGGGGGTAGAGGTAGAAGGAGAGAGAAAGTGAGAGAAAGAATCTTAAGCAGGCTCCGTGCCTGAGCCTGACATGGAGCTTGATCTCATGACCCTGAGATCATGACCTGACCTGAAATCAAGAGTTGGACACTTAACTGACTGAGCCACCCAGGCACTTCTATTTTGCTTTATTATTATAAGAATATGTCTCGTAAAAAGCTTCTTATCAGGATTGACACAGTCCCTGTTCAGTAGGAACTAATCTAATGAACATACTTAGAGTGAAATATGACAGTATCTACATAGTAAATTGGTTTGACCAGAATCATGGTTAAACCAGTATTTAACTTAAGACTATACTTATGCTTTGCTCATAAATGAGGTACAAATGTTTTTGGAATGTAGTTATTTTTTATTAGGTACAGTCCACCAAACTATAGGATCCAGATGCTGTTGGTCCAGTTGTCTCTATGTATAAATTTAATGATATGTTCAGTTAATATTTCAGCATACAGTGAAATGGTACTAATACAACACAAAGCATCATGATGTACTGGAAAATGTACAGTTCTAATCTTGGGTTTCGATGTAGTGGTTAAGAGCACAATTCTCTGGAGCATCACTGCCTGGGTTTAATTCCCCTCTTTGCCATTTACTAGTTGGACAGCCACTTAAACTTTCTGGGGCTGTTTCCTCATCTTTAACATGGAGATAATAATAGGTCCTGCTTCAAGGGATTATTATAAGGGTTAGATTACATAATATATGCAGATCACTTAAAACTGCACCTGACACATTATAGGAGGTATGTAAGTTGTCAGCTATTATGGTTATTACCTTCACCCTGGTCAGTAAACATGGAGAATTAATTCACTTTTCTGAATTTTAGTTTCCTCGTTTTTAAAAATCCAGGAGGAGAAAAAAAATATATGTGAATTGGGGGAGGGATTTACTAAACTATTTTTAAGATTCCTTCCAGAAGACTTTTTTATTTATTTTTATCTTTTTATTTTTTTAAGATTTTATTTATTTGACAGAGAGAGACAGCGAGAGAGGGAACATAAGCAGGGGGAGTGGGAGAGGGAGAAGCAGGCTTCCCACCGAGCAGGGAGCCCGATGCAGGGCTTGATCCCAGGACCCTGGGATCATGACCTGAACTGAAGGCAGATGCTTAATGACTGAGCCACCCAGGTGCCCCCAGAAGACTTTTTTAAATGTAATTTGCTATATGGCTAATTGCTGTTGTGTATCTTTTTTGTACACCAATAGAATTCTGGGACTTCCCCAATGAATATTTACTTAAATGTTATTTTGATAGATCCTGAAATTGATTTAGTAGGTAGATAAATAAAGGAACTATCAATCTTGGTGAAATTGAATTCTTTGAAGAATTAAATATGAATAATTTAGATACTTATCTTCGTTATTTTTGTTTCAGATTGAACCCAAAGAATTATCTGAGAACTGTGTCTGGTTAAAAGTTAAGGAGGACAAGTTTGAAAATCCTGATCTCTTTGCAAAATTGACACTGAATTTTGCTACCCAGATAAAAGGTACATCTTATTTTTTAAGTAACCTTCACATTTAAAGGGTTCTTGAGTGACTCCAGAGACGACTGTTTGTTATAAACACGTTTTTTAATTAAAAAAGGTAAAAATGCTTACATCATAGTATTCATATAGTAAAAATAATTTAAAAAAGGATGCATGATAAGCTTATCCCTTTAATTCCAGACTTACAGCTTCTTCCCCAGAGAAAACCACTGTTACTAATTTCTAACATTGCCTCCTAGAAATAGTCTGTGCTTCTAGATGCATATGTGTATTTATCATTTTTTTGTTTTTTACTTCTTGCTGTTTTTACTTTATATACTTGGATGTTATCCATAATAGCTTGCGTTCATCTACTATGTTCCTTTGGCATACTGCATAGAATTTGTTGGTATGGACTTATCCTAATATATTTAACCAGTCTCCAGTGAATGGGTATTTAGATTAATTCCAGTATTTTTGGTATTTCAAACAATGCTGGGATAAATGTGTATCTGCATATACCTTTGTGCACATAAGATCTATTTGTAGGACAAATTCTAGAAGTGAAATTCCTGGACAAAATGCTGTATACATTTATAATTTTGATATATATTACCAAATTGCTTTCCAAAGAACTTGTTTCTTTAGTGGCACCTACAATATATTTGAGTATCTGTTTCCCTACAACGTTTGTCCATCTCAGAGGTGAAAATGGTAAATCATCCATGTTGTAATTTTGACTTCTTAAATTTGGAGTGAAGGTGAGCAGCTTTTATTACATTCAGAGGCAATTTTTATTTACTCTTCTGTGACCGTCTCCCTCCAGTTCTTTGCACATTTTGTAGTGAGCAGTTGTTCTTTTACGTCTCCATGTTTTTTTTTTTTTAAGATTTTATTATTTATTTGACAGAGACACAGCGAGAGAGGGAACACAGGCAGGGAGAATGGGAGAGGGAGAAGCAGGCTTCCTGCCAAGCAGGGAGCTCGATGCCGGGCTTGATCCCAGGACGCTGAGATCATGACCTGAGCCAAAGGCAGACGCTTAATGACTGAGCCACCCAGGCGCCCCTCTCCATGTTTTTTGTACTGAGTCCCACAAGAATCATAGATTTCATGAAATTTTAGAGTTAGTCTGGACCGTAGAAATGATTAAGTCTGGACTCTATTTTACAAGTGAAGAAAATTACGTTTGAGACATACAGATAACTATAAAATCCATTAGAGAGTTTCTAAAGGTAGTATGATATAGTGGAAAAAGCCTGAGGAAATGGAGTCACACTTATTTGCATTTCAACTGTAATACTTGTAACCTCTGAGACTGAATTTTCTCATCCATAAAATGAGTAGACTAATGTTTATCTAGTAGTGTTGGGAGAATTAAATAAGGTTATATATTTAAAGCACCCAGCACAGTGTTTAGTATAGTAGGCACTTAAGAAATATTAATTCCCTTTTCCCTTTCATTTAACATGATGCTGTGTATGTGTGTGTGTGTTTTGCCTTAGTTGTTGACACTTAATCGAGCTGTTAATTCAGCAAGAGAATTTCCTGCTCTTCTGAGCAGCACTTGATAGAGCCAATCAGTTATAATAGAAGCAATTCTTACTGCAGCTGCTAAAACCTAATAAAAATTATATGAAGGCTCTCATCTACTCACTGCTAAGAACACTGAATTCTTGCTCTTCTTAGCTCTGATTCTCTGAATTTTATGTGTGACACTAGTACTATTTCTGTTTTCCTAATTTTGAATATTTGAGTACAAATCAGGTCAGGAGTGCCTTTCAGTAATACTACTTTTACTAAGATTTATTTTTCAAAGGGACATTTAAAGGAACAGTTAAGCATCATAGCATATTCCAGACATAAATAACATAGCCAAAACAAATTTTAATGATACAACTTTCCCATTTATTTCAATGACACTTGGTAACTGTTGATTGACCTTATTATAACAGCTAAAGTTCCTTGTCACTTGCAGGGTCTTGATTCATAATTTGGCCAGTAGGTGGCGGGATCAGTAAGAAATCAGGAGGCTCTGGCTCCAGTGAACTCCAAGCACACTTCCCTGGCTTTCCTAGTTCCAGGAAACCCTTTCTTTCCCATTTTGCTGTTGTTTGCCACTCACTCAGTTGCATTCCGGAAGGAGGAACACACTCATTGTTTCTAAGGCCTATTTCCAAAGCTCTTAGACCCAGTGTTCCAAAACCTCTGAGAATTTTCTCCTATTGCAAGGGGTTTGGAGAGCTCATTTCTTGTTCTCTCTAAATGCACTGAAAGCATTACTAGTCTATGTTAAGAAAATATTTAACTTAGGAGTTCAGAGTACTTCAGGTTGATGAATAGAAAGTTTTTTTTTTAAGATTTATTTAAGAGAGGGAGAGAGCACGAGATGGGACGGTGGAGGGGGAGAGAGAGAGAGAGAGAGAGAGAGAGAGAGAGAGAAAGAGCCCTCAAACAGACTCCCTGCTGAGCTGGAGCCAGACATGGGGCTTGATCCTAGGATCCTGAGATCATGACCTGAGCTGAAATCAGGAGCTGGTGCTTAATCTGTGACTGAGCCAACTAGGCACCCAGAAAGAAGTTTTAAAATACCTCTGATTCCTATAATATTTACATGTGTAAATACTTAATATGTGTAATTACCATCAAATTATACTTTCTATTTGAATTAAAGTTAGGAGGTGATTTTTAATTTTCTATTAATAACCAAATTATTTCTAATTTAGGAGAGACTGTACCTCTCATTTAATTTAATTTATATCATCTAGTGAAGGAGAGAGGAAGAGGTACACTACATTTAGTAAAGTTGTATTAAATGCTAACACAGATAATTTTTTACATAGGAACGCAGGATGGGAATATAGTTAATTTTTAGTAGGACCAATGAAGATCCCATAGGTGGTATAATTTGAGCTGGGCCTTGAAATTTAAGTAGAATTTTAATAGGAAAAGAAGGGAAGAAGACATTCTAGTCAGAGAACACCATTAGAAAAGTATGGAGGTGGAATGAGGTACATACTGGGCGAGGTGCAGCTGTTGAAAGCACAGCCTATTGAGTTGGGACTTGGAGGTGAAACTGGTAAGGTGAACTTCATAGTGAATAAATGGGGTTTTGTACTTTAAGCATTAGTGGCACAGTAATTTGATTATAAACTATTGAGGAGGCCTTTGGCAGACAGATAGGTGATGGGAATTCACAGGTACATGATAGAGCATTGGTTGTGAATAAATTACCAGTGGTTTAGGCAAGATATGAGGATATCCTGATTAGTATGAATTCTTAATCTCGAAGGTCTTCTAGTTCCCAAATTCTGTGTTCCCATGATTAATATGTAGGTTCTTACAAGCTTAATGTTGCTATGTGACAAAATATATCTCACAATGCTCTCTGGTTTAATGAAAAAATATGTATATATTAGATGCAGCTTCAAAAGACCCTATTAGTACTTTTGAATATATATTATATATGTAACTGTTAGAATTTGTATCTGTTCTAGTTTAGTATTCAATTTGATGATATTTGGGGCCATATAAACATCAAGGCTACAAAAATAGTATCATTTTCCTTAAAAATCTGTAGTAATTATAGATAACAGTGATACTAAATAAGAATTAAAGTAATGATGGTTAATATTAACTAAACTTAAAATAATAATAAAATGTAGGTTATAACTGCAAATTCTAATTAGAATTTCAAGGGTTCTCTAGAGGCTTCAGGAAGAACAAAAATTGCATGGAAGTTGTAAGCAGTTTCTTTGGTTTTAATGTTGCTTGGAGGAAATATAAGAAATAAACATAAAAGGTTAATAAAATTTAGCTTCTTCAATAATATATTTCTGTGGTGTAATTTAGCTTTAATAATAACAGAAAATTGAGGTGCTATAAATATTTCAGATGCATATAAATGCTATTTTGCAATGCTTGAGATATTGGGCATAGCTTCAAAATTATGGTGGAATGGAGTTTAAAGATGTATTTATGTAAAAGCACTTTTCCTCTAGGATCATATTTTAAATTGTGTTTCTTAGTCATTGAATCAGCTAGCTGCTTTTGACCATACCCGCCCTTGTTTGGTTGCTTAATAGAGTCTTTATTATGTTTGGTGAAGCAATGAAAAAACAAAAGGGTGGTAAAATCTAATTCATCTCTGTCTTCATCATATAGAAATTCTTAGAATTGACTTGAAAATAATGAGATGTCTATCTCAGAGTGCACACCTCTACAAAATAGTGCTAAAGTGTGCTGAGAGACTTGGTGTCCTAACAAATAATTTGTCATCTTAATGACACAGTATGCATGTTCTGTACTATAAGCTTTTAATATATATGGAAACAAACCAAGAAGGCTTAAATCTTTCAGGCAGCCAACTAACCACCATATATACCTTATATAATTTAACGTATGATGAACATACACTCCTTTCCAATTGGCATGTTCTAGAATCAAACAATTACTTCCTTTATGTAGAAGAGGGAACAAGGAATTTGTGAGTCAGAGATGCAAGCCATTGTTTAATTATAAGAATCGCTATTTGTAGAGAGCAATTGAGACACTGTAGCTTCATTTTCTAAATGAGTAGGCATCAAAATGGCTCTATTTTTACATATTGGTGATAGTGTGGTGATTGTGCTACTTCTACCACTAATACCATCACTACTAATAGCAATAATAGCACATTTATTAAGCATTTACTATGTCCCAAGAGATGCATAAACATTTTAAATTCATATTTCATTTAATCCTCACACCAACCCTAGATACTATTATTGTTGTTTTATAGGTGGAGAAACTGAGGCTATGTAAACAGTATGTCTATTTTACATAGCTAATAAGTGGCAAAGCTGAGGTTTGAACCAAGATTTGTTCTTAATCTCTTACTTATGTTGTAGCAGTGGCTTTAAAAATTTATTTTTATTTATTTTTTTAATATTTTAATTCCCATATAATTAACATACAGCATATTAGTTTCAGGTGTACAATATAATGATTCAGCAATTCTATACATTACTCAGTGCTCATCA